GAAGAGATAGGATAGTAGTGATATTAGAAGGTGTTATAAAGGTTTATACTTTTACACAAAACCCGCAGCAATTGCATGTCTTCGAAACCAATCCCAATCCGAGAGGATTGTGTGTTTTGTGTCCGAACAGTAACAATTCTTTGCTTGCATTCCCAGGACGTAAAAATGGTCATGTTCAAGGTAAATTATTGTATTAAACTATGAAAGGAACATATTGGATTGTATCATCTTTTGTTTTTATAGTTATAGACCTAGCAAATACAGAAAAACAGCCTTTAAACATAGAAGCACACGAAACACCATTATCATGCATAGCTTTAAATCTACAAGGTACTCGACTTGCTACAGCTTCTGAAAAGGGTACTCTGATAAGGGTATTTGATACACAAAGCGGTAATATGATCAATAAATTACGAAGAGGAGCAAATCATGCAAATATATATTGGTAAATAGTTTAAGAGGAATTTAACTGATTATTTTTTTATATGTAACTGTTTTATTTTAATACCTTAAAATTTTATTTTTTAGCATAAATTTCAATCACGATTCAACGTGGTTATGCGTTGCGAGCGATCATGGTACAGTACATGTATTCGCAGTAGAGGATCAGAAATTGAATCGTCAATCTAGTTTAGCATCAGCTACTTTTTTACCAAAGTATTTTAGTTCGAGCTGGAGTTTTTGCAAATTTCAAGTTCCGGGAAGTGCTCAATGCATGTGCGCATTTGGAACTGGCAGTAATAGTATTATAGGTTGGTATCGATCTTATGAATTTCAAAATTATATTTATTCATTTATTCTCATTAGGTAACATTTTAAATTCCCGCTTCATACAAAAAAAAAACTGAAAAAAAATAATAACAAATAAAATATAGATTAAAGATTGTACTTTCACCGAAGATTATTAGATTTTCAATTGCGAAATAAAATTAATTATGCTTCGTAAATTCTCGTACACAAAGAGAAAGAGTTACGTTCATATTTTCTTCATCGCATTAAAACATCAATCAACAAGTAAATAATATCTTACAACCCCTACTCCCACTCCCACCCCTCAAAACCTTTTCCCCCTTCTTCTCAAAGAGATAAAACGATACTATATTATATACAAATCGATCATAAAAGCTTATCGATTTATTCGTATTATTATAATCATGATTTTTATATTCCATTTAGTTCAACTCTTTTTTTTTTTGCTAAATCATCACTTTGATTCGTAACGAACACTCGTATGCGTACACGTTTAGGGTTGTTTCTTTTTCTTCTTTCTTTTTTTTTATTGTGTATTGTATATATACGATGGAAGCGATTAAAATGAATTCGTCCTGCGCATACACTTATAAGATACAGATATATGTATGTATGTATTTGTATTTATTTTTTTTTTTCTTTTACTTGAACATATTATATCTTAAACATCTATTTGTTGTGTGTATCTATATATGTATATGTGTATGTGTGTGTGCGTTTTTATTTTTTTCGGTTTGTTACTTATTTTTCACATCTTTTTTCTTAAAAAAGAAAAGAGAAGAACTTTAAACCTCGTTGGGTTTATTAGCTGTCACGTGAAACGATTTTGAACCTTCTGCAATCGATAATGGATCTTTCTTGTTGACACTGTGTACTTCGTGCGTTAATCCTTTTTTTATTTCAAGACCCTTGTACGTACTATACACGACGAACCATAAATAGGAAAACGTGATAACAAATAACAACACGATCACACCTAATAAAATCAAACGAAAAAATATTTCCATTATTAGAATTGTGTTTTTTAATATAAATCAAAATAAAAAAAAAATAAAAAATGATTAAAATTAATTAATCGATCATTACTTCACACTTACGTTCGAAAATGTCTACCTTGCCACCGAAAACAGCAATGAACGCACAATCCTGTTCAACAAGGAACAAGGATAGTGTAAGCGCCGATATTGTCGTCATCATTACCATCATCCAAGGTGTCATAAAATAACGCTTGTTCTACACACACACAAGAAAAAACAACAAAATTCAAACGATATGTTTTTTGT